TTTATTTATTAATATAATTTAAGGGATTATATATAAATTGATTTTATATTATATATTTATATTAATATTTATATTTTTATTGAACTATAAATTAAATCTAATTATATATATTTTAATAATTATATTATTTGAAAGATATTAATATAAAGATATGATAAATTGAATATATATAAAATAAAAATTATGGATATAAATATATGGATTTTATTTATATATAAAATTTAAAAGCAACATATAATGATTAATATAACAATATAACGAAATTTAAAAATAAATTTATATCGTATATATAGTTTGATATGAAATAATTTAGAAATATTTATTTATTGAATTTTAATTATTATTGATATATTTTTAAAATTTCCGTCGATATAGAATGAATTGGAAAATGATAAAATGCTTTATATTAACCATTTAGATTTATTGATGGAAGATGCGATTAAAAAGATTATCCCAAGGAGAAGGCGAATTTTTGACATCAAATATAAAATCTATTTAACGGCATGAAGAATCGCATAGGGCATTTATAATTTATGAAAAATGAACGAAAGGGTAATGTATAGAAAGGGTTTTGCAAAAATCTATTAATGTCGTGGAAGGCGCGTGATTTTCGTAGAATCCAAGGCTATTTACGAACAATTCATGGAATGGTGGGCCAATAGGAGAATTCATTACAACGAAATCCTAGAAATCTTCCCAGAATTTCTTGGAAAATATTTTTAATGCACTAACTTCGTATAAACGGCATGATGATAAAACCTTTGATTTTACAAAAAACAATCCTTTATGAATGCATATAGCATAAGAAATGGGCGTGACCACAATGCCCTCATTCATTCGAAGAAAGGATTTCTAATGGAGAAGACCATGCAGGAAATTGACGTCTGCAGATCATCGCCAAATTTCCATCGAAAACAGGGGGAAAATTGCAGGAAAATATAATAATTATCAACCATAAAATAATTTTTGCTACGAAATTGCACATCAAGATTCACCTCAATTGTCCAGGAATAAATATGTGGATTGGCGTCCTAGGACCAATTGGGACATATTTTTTGTGGTGTCAGGGGGCAGGAATATGTTCGATAGTGTTCACAGGGGGGAATTGGGTCACAATTCGATTATATGCCCGATTGACCTTGGCAGGCCACAATTGCCGTGCATAGACAACTTCCTTGAGCCTGGTGAGCTTGATCCATAACCTGGAGGCCTCATCAGCAATATAGCCTTTGGCAACATTATCCGCAATCCGATTCAGCACAATATCTTGAACAGTGGTGCCCTTGGCCTCAGCAAGCTGTTCAATGAATTGGTCAACAGGGAAATCCTCATATTGATGCGCGGGGCACCAAAAGAGCCGTAGTGGAGTCGGGAAAAACGGACCACCAATCGTAATGAATTCAATATGGATCGACACGCCCATCCAATAACAACAACGTTTGAAATTGACGAACAATGATCAATGAATCTGTATGCACGACCAAGGGTGTTGATGCTCCGCCAAAGGCTTCCAGAATAGCCCAAAGTTCAGCAATATAGCTTGGAAGTCGCCAATGTTTCATTGGGCCCACATGGGAAGTTGTCCCATCCGCATTTATGACCGCACAGCTGGCTAGTGCGTGCCAGGGAAATTGACTGAATTGCATTGATCCATCAATCCATTGATGGATTATTTGGAGGTTATCACCTGACCATGCAATCACAGGTATGGTGGACGTCTTATTGACTTTGAGGGAGGCTTTTTAGAATTAAAATATATTAGGTAAAAATATTCCTAAATCATGTATGTGTTGTCTAGGTGTAATAGCAGACAGTTGTTAGAGATTTAGGCGTATCGGGGTCTAGAGAGGTGATGGTGAGAATGAATACGAGAATGTTAATGAGGATGAGGATGAGAATGAATGAGAGAGAATGAACATGAGAGCATAAACGAGAATATATATAAAGATAAATGAAGATGAATGAACATGAGAATGGCCATGAATATATATGAAGAAGAATTCTGAAAATGATGGACCTATAATATATTATATTATATATTCTATTAATAATAATTCACGAAAGGTAACCTTTTAGGGAATATTTTGAATTTTTGCTCCGAAACAAATATAGGTTCTTTCGATTTTATTATTTGATAATTTTATTTAATCCCTTCTCTTTGGAATTGATTTTTGAATCCTACCCAACCGCCGTTTTCTCCCCTAACAATTTCATCCCGAATTGGATTATTTCGATGATTATTTAATATTGAACATTCTAAATTTGAATCTATGAAGAGATATAATATGTATTATTAAAAAACATAAATATATATCTTCATTTTCAATTATCAATATATAAGCCGCTATAAATAAATATCAATTTCAATATATAATATATAATATATCTATTTGGTTTTTGAATTAATTCGAGGTGATTGAGATGATTGAATTAAATAAATATCGATCTTTGAAGAATTCTTAGAATAGATTTTGTATCTTCTTAGATTTTAGGATAGCTTTGGATATATATATATATTCAAATTAAATATATTTCTTCCATAATAAAATTGATATTAAAATCGAATTTATTTATATTATATTATATATATTATATATATATATTTTTTCATTATTTATTTTTCATATATTAATCTTCTTAAATTTTGTAAATTTCGTAAAGATTAAATTCATATTAATTTGGAAATGAATATTTTGTTGTCGATATATTAAATATTTGCATAAAAATATGTTTTATATTATAAATATCGATCTATTTTTGAATTTCTATAAATCTATAATATTTTTTTTCATTTCGATATATAATTTATATATATTTTTTTATACAACAAAAATATGATATTATATTTAATACGAAATTGCAAGATGTTTTCAAATATATTTTTTACGAAGAAAATGCTAATTTATTTCATTATTTTTGAGCAATATATATAGAATATTTAATTTTAGAATTAAATTTGAATAGTTTAGAATTAAATTTGAATATTATAAATATATGTTCCTTGACGAAAAATAATTCGATTAGGAAAAGAAGAATAATTTCTAATAAGGATTTAATTATGCAAGAAATATTAAAGATGCTATGATTTATATTATGCTATTATTATTAATAAATTTGAAGATGAAATATATATGTATAAATTATAATTAATTGCATTTATTCTGAATAATAAATTCTCTTCAAGATTATGATGAAATGTGTCCTTATTTTTATTACGAAAAATCGATATCGGAATTTCAAAGCATGATATTTTTTTAATATATTTGCCAAGAAAAATGACTATCTGATTGCAAAATGCGAAGATCACCATAATGAGAGCGCGGATATTTAATTTCTAGGAGCCTATACAATCGAAATATATTTGGAATATTTCGAAAGGCATTATAAATAGCAACGAATTAATGAATTAAACGCGCACGTCGGCGCACCACCTTAATTAAATATCGGTATTTAATTATTATCATAAAAATCCCTAATATATTTAAATTAATTAGAAAATAATGGAGAAATCCAAAACAATAATATATTAATGTATTTGCATCGTATATATATATTTAGGGATTCTTATGATAGATGTAAAGTAATTCATGCTTAGATCGCTGAAGCGCGCTTGTGTGTGCAGCTAATTCGTTGCTATTTATAATGCATTCATGTCTCGAAATCGTCGTTATATATTTCGATTGCGCAGGTTCGCGAAATCTAGGTGGCAGCGGCGAGCGCTTATCACGATTACGTTCTCGCTGGGGCGCGTACGCGTTTTTGCATATGGTGGTCATTTTTTATGACAAGTGCAAGGGAAAAATTCGTATTTTGATATTGCAAAGTCGATTTTTTGGGACAGGCATAAAAGATCAGAATCATATTATTTCGAATTTAGAATTTCGAATCAATTTTCGTGGCAGGTATAGGACTTTAGACATACATCGTAGAAGAATTCAAATTTTATAATAAGTACAATGAATTATAAATTTTAAATATATAATTCGTTTGTAAATTTCCTAAAAGATATAACATTCTATAATCCTTAATATTCAAATTCCGTAACGAGCACAACATTTACTAAACCTCAAAATGCAAATTTCGTACCAAAAATAAAAAAATCAATTTATAAATTTCGTAGAAAATACAATTTTTAAATTTTAAAATCCATTAATCTTATTTTTTTCAATCCTTATTTTAATTCAAGAAAACGATACAAAAAACCTAAATGGATAATTCAATAAGTTCTCCGATTAGAATTTCATTCCGAATATTAGTTAAAATTTTCTATAAATTCTATTTAACATTCCATAATTTTATTTTCTAACACCTTTTTTAATATAATATAATTAAATTAATTCCTCCGTTCAGAAACTTCCATACCTTAATAATTAAGGTATTTATTTTCAATTCTTTATTTCCACGGTGTTAAAATTCGAGACCCGATTATAACCCCACTTAACGAATTCCACGTTAAATCTTTGCCAGAATGGGAAATCAATTTAAAATTAAATTTAATAGTTTCCGTTAAATCTATAATAATAGTAATACTAATATTAATAGTGAATAGTAATACCAGCAATAATAAAGCTATTATAATAATAACAATAATAATAGCAAGTGTAATGGCAATAACAATAGGAATAGTAGTAATAATAACAATAGTAGCAGCAAAAGTAGTAGTAGTAACAGTAGTAATAATAGTAGTATTAGTACTAATATTAGTAGTAGTAATAATAGTAATTGTTGTTATTGTTGTGGCAATGGTAGCACAAATAGTTGTGTAATCCAAGGGCTTAGATTACAGACCCACCTTTTGATCCATACCCTATGGATCGAGGTATGGATCGTGTGTGGGTTTGGGTGTGTGGTCCAAGGCTTATGTTTCTAGCCGTAGCATTTTTTTTAGGTGGGATCTGGTTCTATAACAACATAAATAGGTCTTACAGGAAACATATTTGTACAACCAACGGTGATAATGTAATAGAACAAACAATACCCTAAACAATATTCAATTTATGTTTGTCATCATCAATTATTCGTCATCCATCATCCATCCAACCCGAAAATGATATCAGCCTCAATTGAACACCCGCTGTTGATCTCAGCACTGTATCTGGGAGTCCAAGCACGGCCTATACCAATGAAGGGCACTAAGCATGGCTTGGCAGAACGCTTTCAAACGCGTTTTGCGCTTGACAAAACTTCCTCCACTGAGACTGACAGTCAGTGAAGTGGGCATTTGCCAAGCCGTCCAAAAGCCTGCCACAAATGGTAGGCTTGCAGTCAGTCACCCATCTATACAGCAAAATTTGTGACCGCAATCTCTGCAACGAAAAACCTGTGCAGGCTTGAAAGGGTGTGCAGCGGTTACCCAGGACCCGCGCCTGTGTCGAGAGCGGAGCAACCATTTGACAACCTTTTGCTACAAAAATGCTCATGACTCATGGTAGTTCAGAAGTGCTCTTTGAAGAAAGAGAAGCGGGTTGCACCAGGTGTCCCAATGAGGTCAGAGTTCTTGATGCTCTGGCGTGACAGCTCCTCTCCAATAATTGGCGAACCACACAGAAAGACACCAATGTGCTCCCCTTGGTGCTTCTCTCGGTTTTGCTTGAAGATTCGCCCCCAATTGGGACGACCAAAGAATTGGCCGCTGGCACAGGGGAGCTTCTTCACCTGCGACAGCTCAATCTCGCCTGTCAGGAAAAGTGTAATGTCCACGATGCCAGCAGCGGGACCTGTCGCGGCATCTGATAGGAGGTCGCAGAACCAGTCAAACTCTTCTTGCCCACGGCAAATCCAGTAGAAGTAGATTTTGTTTGGAACGACCTTGGCTGTGGCTGTGAACAGCACCATTTAGTTCAGTTACAGCAAGGTCTTGGCAAGCATAGTTAAGGCAGGGCACTACTAGATCATCAACCAAGCGCTGCAAGCTGTCTCTGGACTCTTGTTGCTCACTTCCCATCATGTTTCTCCAAGCGGAAGGCTTTGTGGCTGCACTCATTATGGTCTCTCCTGCATCGAGAGAAGTAGGCAACATTGTCTCTGTAACCTGCTGAAAAAAAATAACTCGCTAATTGAAATACAGCTACCAAGAACTTGTTGCAAGTCAAGTCTCTTTGTTTGGATCGCAGCTGCACTGAACGCAAAATGGATGCAAAGGGAGTCACGCCGATACCTGCACCCACGACCATGAGTGTGTCGAAGCCCCAAACCTTTTGCGCAGGTGCGCCAAAGGGGCCCGTGACTTGCAAGACCACCGCCTCTGGCGGCAACATCCCTGGCCGAACTCTGCTGACCATTGTCTCGCCCGAGCGAACGGCCTCCACCGCCTTGCCTGTTAGATGACGTCTGGAGGTGCGGGCACCTTCAAGCTCCGTGACATCAGCAACATCTCCTTGGTCGCCCTTAGGCATCTTCTGCACCTTGGGAACATTGTAGACCACAGGGCAGTTGGGCAGAGTGCGCTGAGAGTACTCAATGATCAAAGGTGCTTTGGGAGGCTTTTGCTTCTCATCAGCATTTCCGGCAGCTTGGGCTGGAGACTCTTGAGTGAGACGCTTTCGAAGCGCAGAGCACCAATCTAAAGTGTTTGGGGCGCGGATGTGCACGCTGATACAATTTTCCTCTGGGGCAGAGGTCAAAGTAAAGGGGTGCCATTCACCCTTCCATCCCAAAAGGATGTATTGGCCAGCCTGGTATGCAAAGCCTTGAGGGAGTTCGAAGGTCAAACCAATGACATCCCTTGGAAGTAGCTTCACGCTTCGCAAAGACAAGTAGAGACTTTGATTGTTGGCCAGTAGCAAACGATCCACAATGACAAACATCGCTGGGAAAAAGAACCAGATCCACAGCCGTGCAGGGGCATGAAGCAACAGCAGCACGTAGAGAAGCTTCCACGACATATGAACCCGCCAAAACCTAGACTGTGTGCTTAATGTCGAACCAAGGATGGGGATTTGTTTGTGCTCTACGTTTGATGCTTGCTCTCATTCAACCAAACATACTCAAAGGCAAGCTTTGTTTGTTAGTCCAACTCTGTTGCCTTCAAATCAAATTCATCACTAGTGCAAAAAAACACAAGGTTCTCTTATTTGTATGAAAGGAACAAATTGAACCCGGCAAAGCGCCGGGTCAAGCAGTTGGTACCACGGCGAGAACAATTCAAAGCTGTGAGGAGAATGGCCACCATCATAAATGTCAGGATGATTCCAGTCAGTCCAGCACAGCGAATTTGCACATTCAAGACCTGTTGCCAAAGGGTCATACCACTCATCTTCTCCTCAGATGATAGATTCCACAGCTGAAACGGGTCAGACTGGATGGTGGGCGAAGAGCGGATGAGGTACATGTGAACACAATGGCCGGCGATATGAATAGCAGAGCTGATCATCGTGAAGCTGGCAATCACGATGTGAAAGTTGATAGGATCATCGATTGGAACCCACTCTCGGGAGGAGCCAACTCGCCGAATGGTGGTTTGAAGGCTTTTCAATGTTGGCAGAACCAACAAAGCAAAGTTTAGGTCCATGGCATAGCCCCCACCCTTTGCAATTGGAAAGGCCCACGACTTCTTGAAGCCGCCTGACAAATTCGACAAGAAGCCAATCGTAAAGACCAGGACATTTAGGACTGCGAACATCAACGTGGTCAATTGCTGCTCCCCAAAGCCGCACTTGCGGAAGCAGCGCTTGATGCTCTGTGACCACCTTGCACATGCTGTGGAACGTCATGCAACACTTTCTACATCAAATGAGTGAGAATGTATTCGTTTCTTTTTTTGCTAAGCCACGTAAGATGCTCATCAGGCAAAGCTACTTCAGCCTTCTCAGTGCCTCCTTCTTCATCTGCTGCATGTCCATTAGCCTTCGGGTCCCTCTCTTGTCGTTTTCACTCACTGGACATGCACAAATCCAGCAGTGTATTAAAAGAACAATAATTTATTTACAAACTAAAACAAACAATCCCCTGCCTTCTTGGCCCAGTCCCTCCGTTGTTGAGCTACCAACTGTCTTCGCTGCTCCACTAGTCGATCGAGTGTTTCCCTTCGCAGCACCCAACCCAGGATCCGGGGCCGATAACGCCTTGAAAATAACCAACTGCCTCGCTGCAAAGTCTGACAGAACACCATGTCAGAACAATGGTGATCAACAAAGATCAAAACAAATTATTGGAAGCAGCAAATGATTCTTTTCAGGCCATACCGGCTAATGGTGGACACAAATTAACATCACGCCTGGCCGGCGGCAAGCATGGATTGCAGCACATAGATAGATTACCAATACCAACGCACAAAAGCAGCCAACGCCGAGCGCGATGTTCTCGTAGACCTGGAAGCACAACTGAAGACTTGGCAGAGAAAAAATGCGGTGGCTGCCGCCACATGTGTTGCTGTTTTGAACACGCAGGACCCAGCCTCCAATGCAATGCCAGTGACTGTGATGGAGGATTTGTGTGATCGGTTGGTGAAGTCGTTGTTCCGGGTGCTCGCGAAGTGGTGCGTGCCCGTCACTTTCATCTCCACAAGACCACCATCGAAGTAAGCAGATGCTCCGTTGAGCTGCTTGCAATTTGTCTCGGAGTTTTGATCGTTGGTATCCTCACATGCCAGAATGGACAAATGACCTGGAATGGGTGGTCAGTCCAAATGCTTGAGGATTCTTTTGGATGTCACAATATGCCGCCGAGAAGGCAACATGCATTGAGACAAACAAGGGCTATACTAAGAAGGTTTGAGGGCACTTTAGCAACCAGGAGATTCTTTATAGTGCTGAAATATACCACTGCTTCTCCATAGGCAAGTGTCTGGGTCGCAGGTGACAATCTTATTCTGGTCCAAGTAGGCAAAGCGATCCACCAAACTGCGCCCCTCCGCATTGTTTGGGTCATTTTTTGCGTCAAAGAACAAGGTGTGCGACTCTAAAGACAGTGGAATTCTCTGCGCACGAGCTTGTACCTGGCCCAAACATGTAGTTCACGTGACACTGCACAAGCAAGTGAATATATATACAGTATATATATATATATATGCATTGAAGAAGGTATCTCAGAGCTATCCTTTATTGGCTATGAGCACTGACCCCAAAACCAAACATGTGAGTGTGTTATCTTCAATGCAATCAAGCCGATCCATGACAAACATGGATATCCATGACTCCTTCTACGTGGTTGAAAAACACGAGAAGCCACTTTTTCGCAAAAACTGAAATGAGAACATGCTACCACACCCGTAATTATGCTTACAGTAGAGGATTGGAGCGAATTTTGTGCAACAGACCAAACAAACTGCAGCGTACCTGGACCAAACGCATCAAATCTGCGCAACGAACCGCAGCGTACCTGGACCAAGTTGGATCGGTCAGTGCCTGCCCGTCCATTCCCGGCATTATTGTTGTTGTTGGCATCTGATCCAGTCCATTGGAAGTGAAGCAATGTACCCTGCTCCACGACCAGGTCCTGCAGTAGGTGTTACACCGTCAACAAACATTGAACATACCAAACATGACAATATTATATTGCCAAAGTTTGGATCATGCAAACCGATATCTGTTCTGCACTGCTTGCTCTGCCTTACTGTATACAGGCAATATTGCCTACAAGCACATGTCAATTCATGCGTTCCATATTATTTACATATATAATCATATATATAACTATATATATACATATTAATTACATATCATATCATATATAACACACATCTTTTCTGTTGCATGGCTTTAAGCAACACCTATGGTACTGTTACATAGGACTGGGAACTGTTTCATCGGAGGTTTGACACCAAACACCTGACATGACATGTCCTGTGGAACGAAGTCATACTCCACCGAGGGGTAGACTTGAACAATGTTGCCCCTTCGGCCCCGAACGTTGAAGTTGACAATGCGCTTGCCTTTGTGAGGCCAGCAGCCCGCTGACAATGTGGGATTCAGAACAGTACGTACGATACAATAGCAAACAAACTAGGATTGACTGGGTAAGGGCATCAGGTCCTACTGACAGGGGATCAACTGACATCATCGACTTGATGTCCAATCAGAAGCCGAGATCAAGCATTGTGCATCAGCTTCAATCCAAAGAAGCTGCAGCAATAAAAGGTTGGACAGAACAAGGATAATCTTGCTTGAGGCAATTCCAATCAAGTTGCCCATAGCATCAGCTGGCCTCTCCATCACAATAAAGGAATGGGTTCGGTCTTCAAAAGTGCGGCCGAACTGGTTCGTGTTGACCTGCACAAACGCACAAATCAGTTGCGAGATGCAGTGCCTGAATCCAATTCAAACGGAGCCAAGTTGACTAGAAATGGGTGAGTGACAACCATTCAAACAATTTTAGGGTCTGGGTCCGGGTCACTACAAACACAAGCAACTCCCTGCGGTGCGGACCTACTCCTGCAGGTGTAAATGACCCATGACTCATACTTTGTTTGTCACAGATCCACCACACCTGGAGCTGAAGGAGGCGGCTGGTGTCCTGTGCCGTTTCCTCAGCTGAGAGCTTGCGAACACGATGCAAGCGGAAAGTTGGAGAACCAAGTCAAAGCACGGTCAAGCACTTATGGTTCGTGAACATCTAGTTCTGCATTCTCTATCCAGCTTGCCGGAAATAACATTCGGCTCTTGCGTTGCCAAGCGTCGCCCAGTTTCAGCCAATCGGCCACAGGATCTTGGGCCAACGGCACAGGCACAGATGGTCGTCCGGAAAAGGTCCGGCGGCGTCGATTCCCAGGGTTGGGATCATTGAACTTGGCATCCAGGAAGAAGGAATCTGCCTTCCTTGGATTTACATCTCTCTGAGTCAATGGCAGCCACGTGGCTTGGATTAGCAAATGAAAACAAACTTGAAATTCTTACTACTAGGAACAAGAAGCTACTAGGGGCTCCTGGCATCGCTACTAGGAACAAAAAGCTACTACAGTAGGTGCTCCTGGCATCGCTACTAGGAGCACGGACGCTACTAGCGGCTCATGGTCCTGGCAACCCAACCACGTCTCATGTGTCGGCACTTTTGGGCCAAGGGTCACACCTGTGAGTTGGGCACCCTCCTCCACCGGATTGGCCAAGGAGCCATACCCAAAGTCCCCCGTGCTGATGTTGTAGCGGATACGCAGGACAACCCTGCCCTTCAAGAATTCTGGAATCTTCCAAACGTAATAGTGCCTGTGGTGTTGAACCGTTGCAAACACAACCCTCTGGATTCATCTGGATTCTATAATTTAGTATATAAGCATGCCACACATCAAATCTAATTAGAAGGACATCCCTAATATGTTTTTCGCCTCCACCAAAACTTCAAGGCTTCAGCAAATTACGACACCCAAAGCCTTCTTTCTTATGAAATGCCAAGCGAGCCACGGATGACCGTTCTTCACATTGCCGTTGTGGTTATCCCGACTTGTGATGCCTCCGGTACACTCTGGAGGTGGTTCATTGTAAGCGTCCTGCATTTTCCACTCGCCACCGTTTCCAGCGCAGGCATCCGCGTTGTTGTACCTCAACTCTTTTTTTAAAACATCATTAACAAGCAACTGCATCCAAGCTGAGAATCGATCTGGACAACACTCCTTGGCATCAAACCGTCCTAAACCACAGGAGAACCACAGGATCGCAAAGACAACTGTATCAAAAGAATTCAACATAAAGACACGCAAAAGTCAAAGAAAACATGTTCTAGCAACAAGCAAATCACTCTGGAAGTGAGCAATACCCCTTGGCCATCACATTCTGCGATTCCATACGATAATACTCGCAGCGCGCTTGGGGCTCGTCGGTCAAAATTGCGATATCATGCCATGGAGTTGGATGCCAATATGGGTAGTAGTCGCGCTCCTTCCAAACAAAACTGCCATTGATTCAAGACTATCCAGGGAAAAAAACTCACACGGCAAGCTCAAAGCAAAGCAACGGACTTCACCACGCTATTGGTATTAGATCCGGATTGATCGTTCCAGTGGGCAGCCCCAGTTGGTCAAAACTCCATGATTCATGCCAATCCAGAATGAATATTGAAACTTAGGGATTTCCAGCAACTTTCACGTTGGAGCTTCAATTAGGTTTGGACTCTTCCGTCTGTTCTCAAAGTTCTTGTCACAATCACGATTCTCTTTCTTCATGTCTCTCCTCAGGGCACTCCAGGCCATGACGTTGATTCCCACGACGTCGGCCATTGCCATTGGGATTCTGACGAGTCGAGGTGGCTCCTCCATTGGCCTCGATCTGCTGATCTGCGGTGTAGAGGCCCCTGTTGCGCTCTCGCTGAATGCAGATCTGATAAAAGTCCAAAGGCTCCTCAGATTTGCCAGTCTGTTTTGGAACCGTGTTTAAAGGCTATCGTTCTTTTTGTGAGTACCCCATCGTTCGATAGGGTTGGAGCATGCGACATTGGAATCATTGCATATCATCGCAACATTTGAAGGTGATTCACATGAAAAGCCGAATCTCTGTCTGCAGACGTGCCAAGTCTTGGAGAAAAAGGGACACGTTTGCAGAAACTGAGTTGCTTAAACTTCAGCTTGGCTACATGGTATCCTCGAGAAACCTCAGCAGTCTCGTCCTCGGTGGGATCTTCGCCATCTCCACCAGCAGAGTCTTGGTCTGTCCCATCGCGAAGGCTAGGGTTGTCTGCCTCGGACATGTACTGCAAAATGATCTGACACTTTAGATTTGGATGTCCAACGCCACAGCCGTGCTGCAAGTGCCACTCAATGTAGAGCTCGGAACCTTGGTAGTACTTCATGGTTCCCTTCGTTGCCCCCTCCACATTCACGTTGTAATTGTTGTTTTCATCCTTGCACGCGGGCTTGCAATCATCGCCAATCTGATAGCCTGAAGCCGCATTGTTCTGGGAATCAAACAAGCGATTCGCATTCTGCACATTGTTGCTTTGCTCACGCAGCTTGTTATTTGATCCTCGTGGGTTGTTGAGGTACATGTCGGCAAGGGCAAACCAGCTGGTAGCAACCAGCACGGTCATAATTCGATGAAAAGACATGGCTGGCATGGTGTAGCAGGCAGGTGCTGCGCGGCCAAGAGAGCACGGAGTCTGAACCAAAGGAAAGTGGCTGGTACAAAAAATTGCAATAGATATCAGCCCATCAGCCAAATCAAACATGATTTGAAGCTAATTACAGTACACTTCATGGAAGTCGCATGGAGGAGTTGGTGGCAGGGCCACTGGCTGTGGTGCTCCAAGTTCTATCACTGCAACCACAAAAGCATCACAGCCCGATGGCCTCAGTCACGGAATCCTTTTTTTCCTGGTTATTCGCTATCGGCAATCTTTGCGGCCAATCGTTGTATGTGAGCTGCCAGCAACCCGCGCTGCTTCAGGGTCTCTCGGGTTTCCTGATGTCAAGGGACTTGAACAACAAGTAAGTAACTTGTTTGAGCAGCTTGTCTTTCAAGTGATGCCAAGCTTCAGCATCAAGATGAGCAAATCCTTGTATGCTTTGACCACCTTTGGCACACTCGAAGGGGCTGGCCATTGACCACTCGGTCATGCAGTAATGAAAGCCCAATTCTTCACCTAGCACAGTCTTGCTACAAACGTGACTTGACATGAGCGTCTGCCGAACGGTCTTATTGTGATTCAACAAGTTTACTGCTTTTGAGAAAACAATTACTTTTTTACGCCCCCAGCCACAATTTCAATCTATTCTAGATGAACACATCACAAACTGTGCTTTTAGAAAGGCCTATCGCCTTTACAGGTTTTAGCGACAGTTCTCAGATTCACGACTGCAAATTGGTCATTGCAGGTTTTGGCGGGTTGCTCACATGGAGCTTCTGACTTGACAAGAACCAGCCCTGCCACCTGGCTGCAAATCGCGAAGGGCACCTGAGATTCTTGACTGACATCTCCGCTTACTAGAAAAGACTCAGAAAGCATTGGAGACAGAGTGGATCTATCTGCAACATTGTCCCAGCATGAAACTACATCAGCATGTTTTTGCTTCAAACCCAATCTGCAATTCAGAAGTACATCAACACCCCTGATGCTTGAACAACGCTTGATGCCGGAGAGTCATTAAATCATATGCCCTAATCGCCTCCAGCCCACACCACAAGCACAGAAGTTTGGCATCCGAAGGCGCTCCAACTGATGGACTGCTCAGTGATCGCGGGCTTCAGGTTGGGTTCATCCAAATGGCTCAGAAACCGTGCAATGCCGCCTCTGTCTTCAGGCACTCTCCTCAGGTACTTCCAACCTAACTTCAAACACTTCAAACACCCACAACACCGCCATACTTACCATGTTTGACAGTAACTATTTCCTGTATGTGTTTTCTTCAGCTCGCAAAGGCCTCAAGTGCTGTGAATTTATCACCTTTGCCAAGCTACTCAAGGTCAAGGTGTTGTTCCTCATTCACCTACACCGGATGCAAGAAAAGGCGCTGTGAGTGCGAGGGAAGCTTCACGCAAAACATATCCAAACACATCAAAGTTTACACTCCCTGTGATTCATAAATGCCGATGTCTGAATGGGAACTAATGTGTTTAGACAAGGTTATATATATATAAAGACTCGTCAGCCTCCTTTTCTAGTTCGCTCTGCAGCAAGTTTGT